GAAATTGATAATCCTTAAATGTATATGTAATCAGTAAATTAAATGGTTTTCAATTGTAATTGAAAGCCGCCTTTCAGTTCTAACCGTAAGATTTCATTTTTTCCAGTGGGTAACATCATAAACATTATTGGTAAATTATTCCAGAATCAAGAATTATTACCTTCAAAGCTAAATCTATTTCTTATTCCTATGAAGCAGCATTTATTCGAAAACGTATATCAGGAGAAGACTGCCTACCGATGACATTTTATCAATTAATAGTAATTACTTTCATTCATATGTCGACTAGATATATCCCAGTGAACTCAAAATAAGAGACACCACAGTGTCTGTCACATCTGTTTCATATTTAGATGTTTTACTTACTACGGTCGATAATAACCAACTAATAACTTAACTGTATGACGATCGAAATGACTTCAGCTTTTCCATCGTCAACTTCCAATATTTATGTATACTGCTCCCCCGTTATAATCTCCTGCTCCGTTATAATATATAAGTCCCATGTATTACCAGCATTTCCCACCTATCGTCATCCGCCAACGTATTTCAGGTACATATCTGTCCATTGTCTTATTATTTACCCCGATAATTACCGCCAGTAATGAGCATTTGGGGGAGGGTGGTCGACAATCGGATCGGTATAAAAATATGCTCATGACGCAATCAAAAATGGATGCAAAATAGTCAAATAACATTTTACGTACTAAACTGACATAATTTGTGAACTTCAGTACTTAGTATCAATTCACATGTGTAATGTGCAAAGGAGTGTAGCTGATCCCTGTCAGTTGTTTCTAGTAGGTAAAACGCACGAGATAATCAAGCCATGCTGCGTTTACAAGCAGTGATTTGGGCTTTTAATTAGGATTCAAGTTTCCTGTGAAAAAGTTTATATCATATGTACATAGATATATTTTTGTCCATTTTAAAGATGTGTTGAATATGGCAGATCCAAAGTCAAAGTATGTGCTTTTTATTAGTTTTGAGTACAGGGACGCCAGACGTGGAATGGAAGTTGTAACTAGAGATTCGATATATAGAATCTAGAATTTTGCATCAGAAAAAGCATAAACTTTTGTAACTATATTAAGCAATAAAACTAAAACAATCAATAAATATTCTAAAAATTAAACGTGTACCAAACATACAAAAATAAATAAATGAATAAATAAATAAATAATGATTTAATAAAAGTATTAGTAAAGGGGCAATTTCTTCTGCTTTCAAGTGCCTAATTACAATTCCCCCGAAATAATGCCATCCAACGCCGAAATTGCCGATCTACAAATGTAGACGGTAAAACGGTGGGAAAATGTAGTGTTCCAACATCACCTGCATATAGATTTTTTTTTTATAGTGTGCGTTTCTCTCAGCTGATTCGTTAAGCAAGCTATTGACAAATACTTTAATGTTCAACAACCGCGTTTAAAGTAAGTTTTTCGCAAATACAACCTACGGTTGGTCTTATTTTGTCTGACATGTTTCATACAGTTTGTTAGGTCATCGCTTTTATACTAATTTTTACTACATATTACTCCGCCTATATGTACCTGATAAATACACAGGGCTCAGGGCGGGTGTGGCCGGTACACAGGATGTGGTCCCATGAACCTTTTTTTATGAATTAAAAGTCCATCATGAATAAGAGGATAATAATGTGCGCAGAAAAGTATACTCAGGTCTGGAAATGTCTATTCCAGAGTTTTCCTTCCCTGATTGTATAAAGATGTTATTTTCATCTTTATCGTTTTAAAATCCTGTCACAGCCTGTTTCCTATATGAATTAAGCACATGATTTTGTATATGAGCGCTACCTGTTGAATTCCTACTTAAATCCATCATAGCAAACCAAGCATGACATAAACAATAGATATATTCGCTAAAAAAAAGGAAAATGACATGTTTAACAATTAGGAATCTTCGTAACATATTTGAATTGTTTTGATCCCTTTGTAGGTATGTAATTATGAAATTTAATGTGTATTTTTTCTTTAAATAGATATTTTTATGTTAACAATTTTGTTCCCGTTTAAATAAGGTTTAAGTTTTGTTAAAGGGAAGTAAAAGAAAGCAGAGAGAGAGAGAGAGAGAGAGAGAGAGAGAGAGAGAGAGAGTTGTTCACATGTAATATTCCTCAATAATCACCAACATTCCTCATTCTGAGTATGTCTTGCAACTGAGATTAATTTCAGTGGTACGAAAGAATACTAATTGATTGAAAATACCATATATTGACTATTTTGTCCAAATTCAAGGCATTCTTCTGTTGTTAATTGGTATGATAATAGAATTCACCAGAAGAGGTGCGTTTTGGTGTAAGCCAGTTTACGCTTTTCTCGATTTCCATATGAATATTCTAAGACAGAATGTCCAAAAAATCAGATGTGTACATATCTATTTACTTTGGTCCCATTTACTAAAAAAAAAACATGTGGAATAAAGTCCAAAAATCTAGATATACAGTTTATTTTATTCCCTGCATTGGTTACACATAAAGTATGTTAACTTTATTTTATAAATGAGAATGATTAATCATTTGATTTAATACAAACATTTTCTACAGTTATGAAATGTACAGTATCCATGTTTTGGTCACAGTTGTGCTTTTTTAAAAGCAAGTCTCCTTCTAAAGGAATGGATATGTAATTTGTAAAGGAAGGATGTTCAAGAAAAAATGAAATTGGGCTGCTTTCATTAAAGTCTTCTTAAATATCACAGATTTAAAAAAGAATTTTAAATTCAATTCTTATATAGAAATATTCAAATTATGGCCCTTGGGCTTTGCATGGGGCTATAAGTTTTGTTCCGACTTTTACAAGTACACAGAAATACATATTTGGTATTTTTTTTAAAACATGTTCAGAAATAGTCAGATTACAATTAGTTTAATAAAAGAACAGAACTTTGACATGGTGTAGACTCAAGCTCAAATTATGGTCCTGGTGTTGTATTGTTTCGTGTTGTCTACAATAGAGTAAACCATCAATATTGTAGTTTCCAACCCCTGAGATTTCATGAGTTTACTTTGTAATTTGTGTATATAATACGGAAGGATAGATTGATTTGTAGCACGTTCTTTTTCTAGAAAAGAATTATTGTCAAAATTATAAATGATTCCGTATTAACCGATTTCCCGTGTCGCAGTATGTGCTGGCACGAAAAAGGCTTCTTACTGCTCAATGGTCCTGAGTGCCGAGTACAGGTCTGAATTTACAGTCCTCCACCGACAAGTGGTGACTTCTCAATATGATTGAAAAATTCTCAAACAAACAATTCGATCTGTCTTTCTTCCTTCTATATGAAACGCCATATTTTGACCCAAAGTACTTATATACATGTATCACAAAGAATCTCTTCATTTTGAAGCACAGGTGAAGGATCTTGCAACAGATTACCTGTAATACAGTCGCCCGCGTGGCGCAGTGGTTAAGGCGTCTGCTCTAGAATCGCGAAGTAAGGAGTTGATCCTTACGTCGCGGGTTCGAATCCCACTGTGGGACGTGGAGACCGGTCCTTCGGATGAGACCGTATAAACCGAGGTCCTGTGTCGCAGAAGTGCTGGCACGAAAAAGGCCCCTTACTGCTCAATGGCCGTAAGTACCGATTATAGGACAAAATTTGCAGCTTTCCACCGGCAAGTGGTGGCCTCTCCATATGAGAGAAAAATTCTCGAGAGGGACGTTAAACAACATACAAACAAAAAACCTGTAATACAAATCCATTTTAAACTGTCCTCTTCTTGAAAAGTACGTTTCATAGTTAACAGGCTGACAATTATGAAAATGCATATCATTCCTCCTCAACTTAAATCCATTTCCTTCATTTTAAAGTTAATTTAAGGGTTCCGACTGGGATTTTTATTGCGCAATTCTTCGCACAGCGTAGTAAAATGAAGCACATTTACACTTTTAAACAAATATTTTCACATAATTTATCAAATTAAACAGATCATAGATCATAGGTTTAAAAATCTAATTACAATTTTAAAAAAATAATTTTTAAACAACATTTCAACAGATAGGTAGATGGATGCAATAGAGTGCTTTTGATGTTATGATTAAATGTAGTTCTTTAAGAGGGGTCATAAAAATGATATAAAAGAAAAAGTTTAAAACATACGCACTCGAAATTTTTAAACAAAGGAATTTAAAAATCTCAAAATTATTTTCTGTACATTTTTGTATCAATCATTAGCATTTGTCACATTTTGTAGTTCTCTATAAAAACAAAAAAAATGTATATATATATATATATTTTTTTTTTTTTTATTTTAGATGCTCCCTCTGGAAACCAGACGATCAAATTTTGTGTTTCTTACATATAATGTACAATATTGTACGCTGAATTATTCATTATCCATTGTAATTTGAGCAAAAAGTCTATTGTGGTGTTTGCAAAAACGCTTTGAAGTGCAAAAAACTGGCACTTCCAAATAATCCTATAGTAAATGTACCTGTAGTTTGAGATGATCTCTAAAAATACCCAGGAGATAGATTTTCCGTAAACTTAGCATGCATGTATACTGAAGTCAATGTAAGTTACATATGATATAAAATTAAAGAGTTTTTCTATTGTAGTTTTCACACAGTAACATCCCAGTCGGATCGCTTTAATCTTAAAACACCTTAAAATTCATACTGAAGACCATGCATTTACCTTTACTATATATTTTAGTCAAAACAATCAACATACTGTAGCATTGTATATTGCTATGATCTATATTTACAAAAATTACTGAGTTACTTGCCGCATAATTTGAACGACATTTGACTTGCTTTTAAACAAATAAGGGTTGTCAGTGCTGCATTTGATAATTTTTGAAATGCAGTTGACAACCCTTGCTTTTTAATAAGTTTCTGTCATATTGCAAGATTTTTCTTTTTAAATGTTACAATTAATCACTAATCTGTCTGTATCAATATTCAGCCCACAGACTTTTGAAACCATTTCTGCAGATGCAATATTGGATTATTTCAGCAGACGATTAGATCATCATTATGGACTCGCATGTATTTAGAACCCAATGTAAAGTCCGAGAGTGTTCTCAATGTCAGGGGGACACAGAATTCTACTGTAAAACGTGTAAACATGACCTGTGTTTACTGTGTAAAGAGAATTATGTTCTTGATCTAGATACCTTACACCATGAGGTTGTGATTTACCGAGAGAAAAATGACCACATCTCAAAACAGGAACCCTGTGTGAGACATCCTAACAGATTCTATAAGATGTATTGTCACTCATGTAATCTGTCTATCTGTTTCCAGTGCACAGGACATAGAAAACACAAATTATTGGACATTAGAACAGCATATAAAACAAAACGAAAACAACAAAGAGAAATCATTCACAGTATTAGAAGTGAGACTATTTGTAGCAACTATTTTCTATTGTCAGGAATCAAAGCTGATATAAAAACTTGCCACCCCAAAATCGTAAACCATCAGTCAAAGATGGCAACAAAAGTTCAGAGACTAAAGTCCCTCATTGACAAAGTGATATGTGACATTCTTGATTATATGACTCATCGATTACCGAAAATGAAGAAAAAAATAAATAGACATCTTGCTAGCATAGAGAAAAATGAATACACATTTGAGCAGTCAGCAAACAGACCACTAAAATACCTTTTATTCCTGAAGAAAACTAATGCACAAATGATGAAGGACACCCCTAACCTTCCACAACACACCTTGCTCTCACAGACTGAGGAAGTCAACATGGAGGATGTGATTAAGTTACTTAAAGAAATTCAAATCATAGAGACAGGAAAAAGACAAATAAAAAATGATTATCTGCTGAAACTGATGTCTACACCCGTACTAAATAAATCTGTAACAGTGACTGATGTTAGGGGTGTATGGCATATTTCCTGTTTAAAATCAGACCAAATTTGGATCAGTGATATGTATAATAATCTCATATTGACAAACACAGCAGGTGACACTCTACATCGTTTGTCAGATAGAAGTAATGGATGGGGAGGACACACAGTAAACAGTGCCGGAGATCTTATTTATATTGACAGAAATGATAATATAAACATACTATCTAAAGTCAACAGAACAAGGACTACACTGTTCAAGAAATCAAAACCATGGCTACCACGCTGTGTGTACTGCTCCCTCTCCAATGGAGATTTTCTCGTTGGGATGCTGAATACTGAGAGATGGTCAGGCAAGGTAACACGGTTTAACGACACAGGACAACACATTCAGACAATACAGCACAGCAAAAGAGGTCAGGAACTGTATGGAGCTCCTATATACATCACAGAAAACCGCAATGGAGATGTTATTGTGTCTGACTTTTGGCGTGGTGTTGTCGTGACAGATCGTCTTGGAAGGTATCGTTTCTCCTACACAGGACCTCCAACAGGATCACAACTATATTCCCGTGGAATCTGTACAGACGCACTGTCACACATCTTGGTGTGTGATGATAACTGCCACACGATACAGATGATTGACCAAGCCGGAAGCTTCCTGTCACTAATACACACACAACAACAAGGTATTTACACACCGCAGAGCTTGAGTTATGATGACAAAACTCACCTTCTCTTTGTTGGATCATACGATATCAATAGAGTATGTGCATACAGATACATAGAAAGGAACGATTATGTATCAGGTAGTTTTTGTGAGTAAGTACAAGACAACAAATACCAAAGTGATTTTTTTTCTTTTACCTTAAAAAACAAGGAACTAAGAGAAATGTTGGGTAGAATTATGTTATGAAACATAAGGTGGGAAAAAAGAATATCTGATTACTTAATTACAGTTGATAAGAATACAGTAAAAGACTTATTTTTTTAAACATTCAAAATCATCATCAACGTAATAAGTTGTTGAAACTTTATAATTGGTTTTAAAATCACATTCTGGTAATTGTGAGATGTCATTTTCTTTTTACATACCAACAAATCTTCCATGTTGATTTGGACTCGAGAAGATTGGATATCCAAGACAGTCTTTTGTGTGTATAGAAAAAGTAATAAAAGTGGTGGAACTCTTCCATTTTTTGTGTTCTATCATCAAATATTAGAATAAAATATTTCCAATGAAACTGCATTTCATTTTCTTGTTAAAAACTTTGAACTAGTAAGATCTATGGCAGGAATTTGGCACTTAAGGAAAAGACAATATTATTGATGCCTTATTTATACCTCACCTTGGCCAAAAGCTCAGGTGAGATTTCCTGCACAAAGAGTGTCCAGCGTTTGTCTGCCTGTCTGGCGTGTGTAGTTACGTGTCTGTGTCGTAGGTTGTCTGTAAACTTCTCACATTTCAATTTTCCTCAAAGTGCCCCACTGGACTTATTTCACCAAACAAAGCAGCCTTGGGTTATGGGATTCATTTTCTTTTTCTTCCTATATACAGGAAAGAATAACTTGTATTACAAGTACTTCTCTTTCCTTTTATCATCATATATTCGATTAAATTTTGTCACTCTTAAAGACAGATGATACAAACAAAACTAGAGCATTCCAAGGAACGCATGTGTCGCCTGCTTTGTAGTTCCCTAAAGATGTAAATAAATCTAAGATTGGTAAGCTTTCTATTTACTATAAGCATGATAGTTCATGCATTTGCCTGCAAAGAAAAATTGGACATCCATGGATAGTATAAGATTGCGATAGAATCTGACATTCAAAGAAAATGTGGTTCCCTAACCCTCAAATGAATATTTAAACAGAAATTATTAGAAATAACTATTTATCTTTTTTTCTTTCAATCGTTTAAAAAAAATACGTGTTACTGACAATCATCCAGTTAAATTTAACTGCCCGGGTATTTTTGCAAAGTAGGTCAAAGGTCAAGGTAAAGTGGATTGTAATGCTGGTATTTTTACATACTAAATAGCATAGATTTTCCTCTAAAATGTCAAAAATATAACTGTATATTGGCACTATGAAGTATTTTGAAAAGTTGGTCAAAGGTCAAGGTAAAATGTCAAGATTTATGTTAATTTACAAGACATATTGCCAAGCAATATATGTACAAAATATTAAATCCGTACCTCTTACAATTCTCGAGATATAGGGTATGACAGAGGGACAGCTGGACAGACCGACGGACGGACAGATAGACAAACGCCGGATAAAGTGTTCCCTAAGTGCCGCTCTGCTCTGCCTGGACTGGTATATATTTTTGACCTATTTTGCAAATGATTTGAATAAAAAAATTCTATATTATAAAGAGATTGTAAATTTTCTATGATGTTCAAAATTCCGCCTTTCTCCATCCTTATTAATGAATTACATGGAGATAACGAATCGGGACCAGAGCAAACATGGAAACATAAATTGATTCATATATGATCGGGCATGCGGAAAAATCCTTAGACATTTCAGTATGTAAATAATGGCCTTAAAATTAGTATGAAAAACGTTGGTCAGCATTCGACCATTTGGTAGATTTTATTTGCTGACAAGGTCATTGTATCAACCACAGAACTTGAGAAATGTTGACTTCAAACGAGGCTGTTGATTTTCTTTTTTCATCAACATGTTTCTCAATAGCTTGCCTCGTTTTAGAAATTGGTTTGTCCGTAACGAATCAACTGGAAGACAAAAACTCCAAATGCAGGTGATAAGGGTACTTAGCATATTGCTAAAAAAAATAAGGGAAGTTCACGATAGAAAAGTTGAAGTAATCACATTTATCATATATTTTTGTTGTTAGGTTGACGTTAACGTTTTTTTTTTTTTTTTTTTTTTTTTTTTTTTTTTTTTAAATATCCAAATATGAAACTGATGTGTCATACTCGAGTTGATATATGAATGGAAATAACTATTGGTAATTGATAATACGTCCTCGATATATACTGAAACGCAAAAGAAATGCAACATCCTATTTTAGAGGGGAAAATTATATAAAGGATATAATTTTGTATCTAAAAAGGTACGGATATCTTCAACATTGTAAGTATCGATAATTTAACGGTTGAATGATTTTCATGCCATAACCGGAAGTTAAGTTTGAGCCCGCTTAACAGAAATCAAAAATTGCATGTTTAACAAAACATTTGACAAAAATATTGGGTTTTAAGGGTTTGTATCTGTTTATCATAAGTAATGCAGCAATATTCTGCAAAATAAATTCTTCTTTCGTTTCCGGAAGAGATGCCAAGGCTTCCTGAAAATGACTTAAGTACGCATTTCAAATGCTCTAGCTGGAAAATCTGAAAATAAAGGTGATGGAGAATTGCAGATGCAAAAATGCACGACAACATGCTTCAACAGGCTCATACGTATCATTAGCATGAATGATAGTCCGTGGACCGGAAGTCCAAGTGTTACTACACTGCGCTAGGTTACAGAAAATTCGACTTCGTCATCTGAAAAACGGACATTTAAAAATGGCGAAGGATATTTTTTTCGCTCAGATCTCAAGATTGTTGAACCTATTGCATCGTGGAAATCAAGCTGCAATTGTTGTGCATGGCAGTCTTCCACGCTATAATTGAATGGCTGAGAAGGGGGGTGTTTTAACAGTTATGTGTTACTTTCTAAAGTTAAAAGATAATCATTTAACATTGTTATCAAATCTCTGATGTTTTTAAATCGAGTTTAACTCAGCTGTAATCAGTTTTGAAAATCATTAGTTTAAAGGTTCAGATATTTGTAGATTACTGCTTGTTGCGTTTCTTTTGCGTTTCAGTATATATAAATGTCAAGTTAAAAGCCACAGCAAGTGTTTTCTTCTTCTCATGTAGAATTTTTTTAAAATAAATTCTGCTTTATGCGAATATAAAAATAAAGGAATAGGTCTGCTAACAATGGGGTGCAATTGGTATCCATGGGATGTCCCACATATTTTTTTCAAAAACCTGATCTCCAAATACTACATGAATATTGTCAATCAGAAACTCAGGCATCTTTTTAATAGCAACTTCGGAGTGCATGTGTGTACAGTCAGAATGCTTTTAACAAAATAATTTGACCAATGACAAGATAAGAAAATAAACGAGTTACATTTTTATTGAAAAAGCAGCTGACTATGATTTCAAAAAGCTTGGACATTAATTTACGGTTGTATAAAGTGTTGAAAAGTCGTACGTTTTGATGTTATTGATTTCGGGAAATTTTTTTGATTTCATTTTCTAGAAGTTCCTTTAAGTTTTTAAGAATCCATATCTGATTTTCGCCACATTTGGAATATATAGTTATTAAGTACTCGTGAAGTTTCAGTATTAACTACTGTTAAAATTTTAGTGAGGAGCAAAGAAAGGGGCTCGGTAGAACAATTACTGGAACCCGCTACGTATCTTTGTAAGGATTTTTATGTAGTTTAGGAATTCAGTATAAGTATGATTAATCAAATTCAATTTGACTGTTGGGATTATAAAAAAAATGTTTAAGAATTTTTTATTAGAAAGGGAGCTATAGGTATTAGTTGGATTACAACTTGCAAAATTAAATCCCAGCTCTTTAAAACTACATTTACAATAATGAGCCTTACAATCAAAGACAATGTTTTTGCCTGCTTTGTCAGCAGGGACCAGTACATATTGATCGTATGATCTATCTAATTCTTTTTCACTTCTGTTTTATTGCAGACAGAAGGATAGATGGTTTATCATATTGTCCCTCAATCACTTAATGCGAGATTTCAGCATCCATCTAATAATTTTGATCCATTTTTTTCACGTTTGGCCCATCGCCTGGCGTAATCCTCCACAGAATTCATAATATTTATGAAATTATGACGCCAGTTGAAAGATCGGGGTTCCCTAAATTTTTGCCCTTTTAAAATAAGTTACTAAAGGTCTTTATTAAATATTTACGTCAGTAATGCCGCATCCAACAGGACTATAGTTTTAGGGTAAAGAATATACATCTAAACACGTTTGAGGATTATGTTTCAGATGTTCGATATCTAAGCACTGTAGAGATTTTTTTTTAAAGTTCTTTTTTAAGTTTTAGGAAAAAACGGGTTGTTGGGGCAGCATTTTCTTCCGTAACACGTGACGGTTTAAAGAGCTTCTGATTTGCAATGTCCATAATCACAGATCCGAGTCTGTATTTTGGTGTCAAAGAATCCAAATATAATTTCCTTGACTTACAAATAGACTTTATAAAACTTTCAGAGGGACAGAGTAAAGTTTGGTGCAAATGTAATGGAGACTTAAATGTTTATTCATACAAGGTAGTAATGAATTAAAATAGACATCGTATATAGTATGTTTATTTTAAGACTGATGTCCATGACTACGCTTACGTCTCTGGATATTGCTAAAAAGTCCCATTACATTCACATTGCTACACTGTGGACTTGAAGTATTCAAAATGCTAATGATATTGTCATTGAAACCATATGAAAATAATATCCTAATCCAGTATTCTTCTCGTTGTCTACGGAAAGGTGTACTCAATGATGGTATTACGGTAATTTTTTTTCTGAAATTCTAACTTTCAATAGAATGATCTGGAAAATTAAAGTGCTTGTAGAGAGGCTGCTGGTCTCAGTTGTTACCTTGAAATCTATGTCCCAATATTCTTTTAGTAAGTGAACCACTGATTTTCTCACCATAAATAAGCCCACAAAGGGTATATTCTATCCCGTAGACAACATTAACAACAGTTCCGATTATCCAAAGTTTTGGTAAAGGAGCTCTGTCCAGTAAGATTACTAGTAAAAGAAAAGTTTGTAATCAGAACATCATGATCACAAGTTTTACAGTTTCTGAAAATCTCTTCCAATTATTGTCTT